ACATGTTCTTGCCTCCAAATCTACCACGTAGGATAGTGTTTCTTCCATAACCCTATAACGTTGCATGTCGAGTGTGGTAATGGATAGAGTACGACCTTTCTCGAACAAAGGATCCAACCGCAATTGAGTCCACTGCGTTAGCGGATGATTGCGACCCTCGGCAGATGCACGCCGAACAACAAACCATTTCTCTATCGTTGCACGAACACACTCCAACAACGAGCAAACGGGTAACATCCTGGCCCAACGGAGTTTGTAGTTCAAACTTTCGCATGAATTGGATGTCATGAATCCATAGCGCCGTACAGGTGTAAAACACCTCGCCCAAGCATTTACCGGAATTTCATTAGTTAGCTTTTTAAATGCTTCGGGTTTTAGGCTTCGGATGGATGATAAGTAACGATAGAAGTTTTCACGCCGATAACAATATGCCGCCTTGTAAAATATGCCCAAGACAGATTCCCCAAAAGGCCTAATTTGTTTTGGGATGTGATAATAGCAAAATGAATGATGCGCCTCGGGGAACACTATTGGGACAGAATATATGATAGACTCATGTCTATCCGAGATGATGAGGAGGTTATCAGGACAACCATAGGCCCTTCTCAATTGAGTCAAAAACCAACTCCAAGGCTCACGACGCTCTACATCACCAATGCCAACTGCGAGGGGAAAGATTTGGTGATTCCCGTCCAATGTGGCTGCAACAAACATAATGCCCTTGTATTTTTCTTTCAAGTGGTACCATCTATCACAATTACCGGGACACCAGCTCGTTGAAAGTGTAACACCCCTCCTTACTATAAAATCAGAGTAGCGCAATAATTTGCAAAGTCTTTGAAAATAAAACCTTTTTACTTTGCGAAAACTGATTCGGGGTGCTACCTTTAAAATCGTGACTTAACTTAGAAAACCGTTGTTTTAATTTAATAAAAACGTCCGGTTACTGAAAACTTAATTTTCTTAAAAGTTCGCAATAGGGATGAGTTCGTCAAAAGCGTACGTCAAAAGACATCAAAAACATCATCACGAGTCATCAAAATATAAGCGGAAGCGTAAGTCATAATCATATTTATACAGTCCAAAACATATATAAATATCCTGCAGTCCCGTCACGTCGCGTCACGCTCCCGGCCCGACATCCTGACCTGAAAAACATGATAAAACTGGGGGAGTGAGCACTAAGGCACTGTGCTCCATGGAAACTCATACTAATGTAAAACATCGAAAATAATAACAACATCATGATATCAGTATATAACCTCAACCTCAAGCCGGT